ACTCTGTAAACTGTCCCGACATTGATTCCGGTTAGCTCCTTCATGGGTTCGACAAGACTCTGTAAACTGTCCCGACATTGATTCCGGTTAGCTCCTTCATGGGTTCGACAAGACTCTGTAAACTGTCCCGACATTGATTCCGGTTAGCTCCTTCATGGGTTCGACAAGACTCTGTAAACTGTCCCGACATTGATTCCGGTTAGCTCCTTCATGGGTTCGACAAGACTCTGTAAACTGTCCCGACATTGATTCCGGTTAGCTCCTTCATGGGTTCGACAAGACTCTGTAAACTGTCCCGACATTGATTCCGGTTAGCTCCTTCATGGGTTCGACAAGACTCTGTAAACTGTCCCGACATTGATTCCGGTTAGCTCCTTCATGGGTTCGACAAGACTCTGTAAACTGTCCCGACATTGATTCCGGTTAGCTCCTTCATGGGTTCGACAAGACTCTGTAAACTGTCCCGACATTGATTCCGGTTAGCTCCTTCATGGGTTCGACAAGACTCTGTAAACTGTCCCGACATTGATTCCGGTTAGCTCCTTCATGGGTTCGACAAGACTCTGTAAACTGTCCCGACATTGATTCCGGTTAGCTCCTTCATGGGTTCGACAAGACTCTGTAAACTGTCCCGACATTGATTCCGGTTAGCTCCTTCATGGGTTCGACAAGACTCTGTAAACTGTCCCGACATTGATTCCGGTTAGCTCCTTCATGGGTTCGACAAGACTCTGTAAACTGTCCCGACATTGATTCCGGTTAGCTCCTTCATGGGTTCGACAAGACTCTGTAAACTGTCCCGACATTGATTCCGGTTAGCTCCTTCATGGGTTCGACAAGACTCTGTAAACTGTCCCGACATTGATTCCGGTTAGCTCCTTCATGGGTTCGACAAGACTCTGTAAACTGTCCCGACATTGATTCCGGTTAGCTCCTTCATGGGTTCGACAAGACTCTGTAAACTGTCCCGACATTGATTCCGGTTAGCTCCTTCATGGGTTCGACAAGACTCTGTAAACTGTCCCGACATTGATTCCGGTTAGCTCCTTCATGGGTTCGACAAGACTCTGTAAACTGTCCCGACATTGATTCCGGTTAGTTTCTACAAGGGTCCAGCAAGACTCTGTAAACTGTCACAACAACTGTCACAACATTGTCTGCTACAACGGTCCGACATGACCCCATAAACTGTCTTCTACATCGGTCTGACACCGCCATCCAGTGTCCTCTACAACGTTATGACACCACCATCCAGTGTCTTCACCAATGGTCTGACACGACCATACAGTGTCTCCTATCCTCTTTTATTTTTATGTATTTTCTTGTTTTGTTACTCTCTCCAAACTCAAGTTGGTTAGTTCCTATCCCCCTTGAGTTTGCGGGGGGGCTGTTAAAATCCACCTACTACACACCTACCACTACCACCTACTACACACTCACCTACTTCACCTACTCCTCACCTACTCCTCACCTACTACACACTCACCCTCTTCTATATATAGGAATCATGAATCATTGTAATAGATAACAATATATAACAATCAATAATACAATCATTTCTCTTTATACATTAAATTTCTACAGTTTTCAAGTTGAAGTGGTAACAACTTGCCTGATGATCTATCCACATCTTCATATCCAATGTTTACTTCATTTACTAAGACCTTCAACAGAAGAGAAAGCTCAACATTGTGAAATCCTATGAACAGATAAGAAAGAACAAGTCTGCATGTATCCCTCTTTTTTTTATTTTTTGATTGAGCATGTATCCCTCTTTAACATACCTGTAAGGGGCAGAAAGATTCATCGCTTCCCGTACTCCTTGGTCCCAAGCTCGTCTTGCTCCGATAGAACTTTGTCGTACTGCAAACAAACAAGGGTGAGCTATACCCAGTGGGTGGGTTACCGGAAAACCCCTCCAACGATCGCACAACAAGAAATTAAGGTTTTAGACACAAAAATAATTTGTCTGCAAAATTATACTTTTAAGGATAAAATGAAAGAATTTTAACAAATAAATATTTAATCATGTTATTATATTTTTTAGACAAATTTATTTGGTTGTAAAAGAATCAGTCACTCTCACCTACAATTTTAATTGGTCCCTAATAAACCAAAATCATACATTATTTTATTTTATATATTGATTTTTTATCTCAAATAGATGGGACTATCTAAAAAAAAAGCATCAAGTTCTATATTTCATCACTCGCTCTCTTTCTGTCTCTGTCTCTCAAATCCCTAATTTCTTTTTCTCTCGCAAATGCAATGGTTCTTCTCTACGAATCTCGTTGATTGCTCCTAATCTCAGCAACAATTTCATCCCCGAGGAGTCTCATAGCATCTCTCTCCACTGTGATTTCAGCATCTAGGTTCGATCGATTAATCGATTTCAGTCTCATAGATTTGGTTTTTAATCTATTGTTCGTATTTATTCTTTGAAAATGCTTATTTATCGGTGTAATGTTTGTGTTGATGATGTATTATCATAATATGATTCATTTTTAATTCGTATTTGCGATTGTTTGATTCGTTTAGAGTATTATCATAATGCTCTGTGATTTTGCGAGGCGGAACAAGCGAGGTGAGAGAGAGCTTGAGAAGTTTGATTTGGACATACGTACTCTGTGATATTAGTCATCGAGTTTCATGGCCAAGCAAATCTGGTATTGTAAATTTTTTTCTAGCTAGAATTGATTCGGTAATATTTATATTAGATTCAAGTTGCTGCATGAGGAATGCATTGAATTTAATAAGCTTGGACTTCGGGATAATGTTGCTCAGATATGCGTGTTGGAGGTACACCAGATCTTCAAATCCTTTCTTGAATGCTTACATAGATCTGCCAGTATAAATATATTTAATTTATTGTTTTCATTATTCTAATTTCACCTTTATTTTATTATGCTTTTTGATGAACAGTCATTGAATAAGAACAATAATAAAGATATGCCATTGAGGTAAGTTCTCAAATTTTAATGAATTCTCTTTTCCATTGTAGAGTTTCTACGGCGTAATAATAAATTTTAAAATTTAATTTTGTTTTGTAACCAATTTCTCAACTTGTTATGTAGAATTATGTTCTCTTGATGAATGTTATACTTTTACTTAACTACCAAATGAATGCAATTGACACATAAGTTAACCGTATATGCAACAGAAGGCATTTTTTTATCAGTAATTTGCAGCAAAAGACAATGTTTTAAACCATTGATTCCCTATTCTATGATGTACAGGACTATACCATTGCAAAGTCATTTCATTTTCATATGTTGCCTTTTCTAACTTTTTCCTAATAATTCCATTTTCTGTATCGTCTTTTCTTGTAACACCACTCATCCATATCAACTTTCTCATCCATATCAACTTTCGCTGATCCAAAAAAAAAAAACTCTCATTTCAACTACACATTTTTTCAATATGTTTTTTCCCCTTAATTGCCTAGTATTTAGTAGCATACATCATAACAGGTCTTATAGTAGTCCTATAAAGATTTCCGAATAGGAATCCCACGATTATGCAACACTCCTAATGTATTCCATTTTATTCATTTCTCTCTATGGGTTGCATCCTTTAACAATCACTCCATCTTTATGAATAATTGACTAAAGATGTCAAAAATTTTATCCATTTCACCCAACGGGTTGCATCCTTCACAATCTTTCCATCATTTTGAATAATTGACTCAAGATGTCAAAAATGGCTGCTTTAGAGGATTGCAATGGGACTAAGTCCAGATGGTTTTCCTGTGGTTTTCTTGCTAGATTCAAGGAACTTCATCAGAAAGGATATTGTGGATATATTCAATCATTCTCATGAAAGGCTCCTTTGAAAGAAGTTTGTTTCACTTTCATAGCATTGATTCTAAAGAAAAGAGGTATTATAGAATTGAAGGACTCCACGCCTATTAGTTTGGTCGGTTGTGCTTTGTAAGTTTTTTTGTATAAGTGCTAGCATTACGATTGAAACAGGTTGTGGGTAAGGTTGTTTTTGAGACCTATAATGCTTTTGTGAGAGGGAGGCATATCCTTGATGCGATTTTTGTGGTCAATGAGGTGATGGATTTTATATTGAAATGTTATATTTATATAGTGCTTAAATTATTGCTTTTGCACTGATCATCTCATTGTGTTTGAGTGAACAAATGGGTTTGGTAGCATTTGAATTGATCGGATTAAGCTTATACATTCAATACTCAATCATTCAGTATTTTTGTGGGGACTCAGAGCTTTTAAATGACATGTTTTTTTTTATCATATGTTGTATGTTTCCATTTTCTTTTTCTGGGTTTATTTTCTACTGAGTTTGAAATTCATACGTAAACAGGTATGTTTACAAGAGGCAAAGGACAAGCAAGGTATGTACCTAGACCCCATGCGCCTACACCCCATGCATCCACTAAACCAGTTCGCTCATCCACTCAATCAACACCTGCACCCCATGCATCTATTAAATCAATTCGATCATCTATGCTAAACCTGCTCTGATACCATGTAAAATTTGATGTATAGATATATTGAATATGTTATTGATTGATGTATTTTGGTTGTATACAATGACTCTCCTATATATAGAAGAGAAAAAACATATTCACCTACCACACTCAACTCTCACCTAACACACTCAACTCTACCTACCACACTTACAATCTATTAAATCAATTCGATCATCTATGTTGCACCCATTTACATCAGAATCTGTTCATGAAGTTACATCACAAGTTTCACAATCAGATACTTCTAGCACACATTGCAGCATTGATGGTTTGTAAATATTTTAAGTTTTATGTTTTGTTTTGGTTGGTCTCTTTATTTCAATCCATATATTAACATGATACTTTTTCATTGTTTCATTGTTTTGTAAATATTGAGCATGAATTCATAGCTTAGCATCAATAATTGCAGTTTACTAGTGGACCATTAAGCCTTAATTCAGTACTCTGCATCTCTGAGGAAGCAGAATTGAATAAATTTAGGGGGAAAAATTAAAATAGTTGAGTTCTAAATTTGTTTTCTATGCATTTGATTTAGAATATGAGGAAAATCAGTTTAATTTTTTATTTCATATAATGATTTTGGGTTTCTGGGAATTTTTTTGTGCTCTTCAGATTGAGCACAATCAGTTTAATTTTTTTATTTCACCAAAGTATTAATCCAAAATAAGTAAATGTAACTTCTTTTCTTCTATGATTGGCAGGAATGGGAACACAAATGCACTGTGAAAGCTACCTACTTAGATATTACTCCATGATATTGATTTGTAAAGATTCTGTTTCTTGGAATTCTCTGATAGCTGGTTATTCTAAGAATGGGATTCTAAGAATGGAATTTTTTGTGAGGCCACTGTAATGTTTTCACAGATGCGTGATTTCTTGATACAGCCTAATAAATATACTTTTGCTAGCATTCTTTGTTGATTTTTTGGTGTTGTTCAATTTTAATTTGGAGATGAATAGATGGTTTGTAGATATGTTTGATATTTTCTGTTTGGTTGTTGATTATTTTCTGTTTGGTTGTTGAGCATGTCTAGTGATATGTTTGATATTTTCTATTTGGTTGTTGAGAAATCAAGAAAGGAATATAAGTTGATGTTCAAACTAGTATTTTTAGAGTAATTGTTACAAAATCAAAAAGCCAAAAAAAAAAAAAATTATCAAACTTTTTAGGGATCAATTTTAGTTGTCTCAAAAAAATTATAACATTTACAAACCACTTTTAATTGTTCGTAAAATTAAAATTTTTAGCCACCACTTTCATTTGTCCCCAAAATTAAGACTTTTAGGTCATGTTTGATTCAAAAGACTAATAGTGAAGTATTAATAATCCTATTAAATTAGTGTAGGATTCACTATCCAATTGGATTAATATCCATTGGATTAATAATCCCACCCCTACCTCATTACTAATAATCCTACAAATTTGTTGGATTAATTATCCATTGGATTAATAATCCTAAACCAAAATGTTAAAACAAACATGAGATAATTGGGCCCACGGATTAATAATCCTAATCCCATGCTCTAATCCACCCAATCAAACATGCCCTTAGAGACCAATTTGTGTGGTCTCAAAAATTAATTTTCCGTCTCTATAACTGATTCTTTTGCCCTGGCCTGTAATGAGACTTTTAGAGACAAATTTTGGTTGTCTCAAAATCAAAACTTTTTACAACCACATATTTTTGTCTTTAAAAGTCTATTTATAGTGACAAATGTAAAATTTTGTCTCTAAAAATCATTTTTTGGCGACGGAGAAAATTAGTTGGCTAAAGTTTTTCCCAGCAAATATTACACTTTTAGGGGTGAAATAAATTTATCCTTAAAAAACTGATTTCTTGTGGTATCAAGTTAGCTTTCTTGGAAAAGAAAAGAGAATACAAAGCACTGTAGAGAGAGAGTGGCTAAAGGTTGCTTACCCTCAGAGTCTACTCATGCCTTCTTTTCTAGGCTAGCCATGCAGCCCCAGATTGTGCGCGCACTACCTCTGTTGTCCTTTGCTAGATGCGTGGCTGTACTGCCCTCTCTATTCCACACACATGTATATGCCCAAACTGCTAAACAGCACCGGCCATACCACCAAATGGTATTGAGGCATATCAAGAGTGGATTCCTCTCTTCCCGCCATTGGCCCATGTGGCATGTCCAACCGTGCCATTACTTGTAGACCAAAAGCATCACTGTGACCATCTTGATGCTGAGCTGAGTCAAGCCGGTCTCCAAATAGGAACCACGCTCTGTCAAAGCCTTAACGGCATCATCTTGGGCCGGTCAATTGTAGACACGCCATTCGCCATCTCGGCCACATATCGTGGTCCTAAGGCGTATCTCTTTTCCTACAGTCCTGGCCCAAACCGTTGTTAGCTCGGCTGACATATGGCCCTGCCATCGCTCCTAGAACTGTGATGCTAGAGGTAGCTCGGCCTCGTTATGTTGGTTTGGCACGACCCAGCACCATGTTCCGCGTGGGTTTAGCTCGGCCCAACACCACGCTCCGTGTTGTCCTAGCTCGGCCCAATGTTTGGTATAATTCCCCCTCTCAATACCAAAATAATAATAATTATCCACTAACAATGCAAAGAAATTAGTTGGTAAATATCTTGTTGCTTCTATGGTTAGAAGCAAGATGAGAGAGAGAGAGAGAGACTTTGTAGGATTTCCAAGTAGCTAACTGTGATAGTACCACAATCTGTTCCTCTTTAAACCTTTGCCAAGGAATAACGTGCCTTTTCCAGTAGTTCCAACTAACCCAAGAAGAAAAATGACTGATTAAATTTTGTATGTAAAATAATGAAATGAAGTCAAGAACATTAGATTTCCAGTAACTTCAAGCTAAAGATGGCACTAATTACTCTTAACTTACCCTTAAGCTGTCTTCAGATTCCTCTCGGTAAAATATGACAAATAACATAGCACATTAGCAATTCCTAAATGGGTGCAAACATATGTAATTGAATGCATGCTTAAGTGCCAAATATCTAATAAACATACTCTATTAGAGGTTCTGACAGTGGCGTAAACACGAAACCAGCAACTACTAAATATGAAGGCTGATCCCCTTAAATGCGATAGGGAACCTAGATACAAAACCAGGAACTACTAAATATGAAGGCTGATCCCCTTAAATGTGATAGGGAACCTAGATATGACAGCATAAGGGACCCAAAGTAATTACTATCAGAGCATGGAAGTCTGAAAACTCACGTTATCAAAGAGGATGAGGTATAAATTTGCATCATTACACAATCAAGTTTCTAATTGCTTACCAAATGTACACGTGGATTTAAAACTGATTGAACTTCATAAAAGCTCCTGCTCTTATAATACCGAGCTCCGCAACATCACCTGCAAATGTGAATTTGAACATATCCTTAGTTCTAAATAAGATTCAACGTTAGGTATACATATGTCCTAATGGTCACGAGTGGAACTCCTAGGTCCAGCTCCCAGCCCAAGTGACCATGGATGTGTTAGAAATGCATCGAGTCATTTAGGAATGACTTCATTGAACAAGGGTGGACGAGATATAGGAGAGTCATGGCCAGACAAAAGATCCCTTGGTCAAATCAGAGGGTGTCGAGCCATGCTACTACCAAGCAAGGGCGGCCAAGCGGAGCTGCCTCAACCTAACCGCTCAATGCTCTGGATCATGCCTCGAGGTGCCCTATGTTTCGACTTATTTCATAATGCCATGGCTTGGAGCTAAGGCGCCAAGTACATTAATTAGCAAGGCAATCATAAAATGAGTCTAGTCCTTCAAACAATAAAATAAACAAAATACATTACAATATCATTAATTTAAGTAAACAGGATAGACTGAATACATGCTCACTCAAATTGGTTTAGAAATTGTTCAAATTGATTAAAAAGTTACAAAATTTTGATGAAATGAATTATTAAAAAATTACTAGCAAAGTAACGATAACTATTCCCATTCAAACAAATACCTCAAATTTGAAAATAATTTTAATTTTAATTTTGTATACCTCAACAGTTCATTGTTGAGTTCAAGACATCCAAAATGATCTTTTTGAAACTTACAAACTATTGTGTGTGTGTGTGTGTTTTTTTTTTTTTTTTTTTTTTTTTTTGATAATTCTGTTGTGCAAAATTATGTTCTAGATTCCATACAGAATGCAGCAACAACATTAAATGGTTAACAATTGCGACAAACATACATCACAATGCTTCTTTTATACTTTCACTGCACAAAATTAGAAAAAGAAGAGAAAATATCAGTATGCGCAACCAATTGGACAATGAAACCCTAGATAAAAGTGCAGAGGGAAGGCAGTGGCCGAGAAACCTTTCAATGTTATAGAGAAAATTGAGCGAGGAAACAAGAAAAGAAAGGGCAGTGAATAGGTTAGCAACTCTCTTGTTGGGAGTTGGAGAAGAGGCGTTGTGAAGATAGAGAAGAAAAAAAGACAAGTACCGGCGGCGGAGGTGAGCGAAGAGAACCACCACGCCACGGCTGCGACCGCCATTTGAGCACCAATGATGCTGCCACCTACGGACACCAAACCGGTTGACCCAAGGAATGACCGAAATCAAAGTTGGTCCGCCACCTAAGCAAGAAGGCCCACCAAACAGGCGTTCGGAGAAAGATGCTGTGCCTAAAAAAATAAAAATAATAAAAAATAAAAAAATAAAATGAGGGAGATCTTTTTCTTTTTTCTTCTTCTTTTTTTTTTTTTTCTTTTTTTTTTTTTTTTTTTGGAAGACCTCACAATTCTAAGATGATCCATATCATTCTTGATATATCGAGTCTATTTATGTATATATAGAGTCAATATCTTGAATGACAAAGATTATTTTAAAAACGACAATGCTACGTAGCTCAAATTTTGTGGCACAAAAGTGGCTCAAATGGCCAAAACGACGTCGTTTTGAGTACAGAACAACATAAAAATGGCCAAAACGACGTCGTTTTGGCCTTTTGAGCCACAAAATTTGAATTACGAAACATTTTCCTTTTAAAAATTATGAAAAGTGGATCTATCATTGTTGAAAAAAAAAATACACGAATGCTAACAAAATCACCAACAAATTTACCAAATTACACATAAAAGTGTGACACTCATACTTAGGTGGGACCTACATTGGGTAAGTTTTTAGCATTTTTTTTTTAAATATTAATCTTTTATTCTATTTTTTATTGTTTCCAAATATTAACCTCTTTTCAAAAATTAAGAACTAAAATAATATGAATTTTTTATTTTGTTCTTCTTTTAAATTCATTAATAACTTAAAAAGTATAATTATGATAATTGATATTCCTAATTTTGAAAAATTAATTTTTTTAAAGTACAATAATTGTATTACCCAAAAAAACTAAATTCTTCAAAAGGGATTATTATTTTGGGATGGATGGAAAAAAAAAAAGATTTGATATCTCTAATGGCGTTGTAAAAAAAATAATAATATTAAAAACACAAAAACATTTACAGAATGGGACACAAATACAAAAGGTGCGTGTGAGACTATTCTCTTATGAGAGGTTTGTGTTACATTTTGTGAATAGTTTTTATGCACATAAACTTAGTGGGGAAAAAAAAAACAAACAAACAAACTAAAAAATCCATCAAATCACTTAAAGGTGTGATGTGTGAGTGTTTGATAAATTTTTTGATAACAAATGCTAGAGACTCCCAACAAAATTGCTAATTTTTTTTCACTAAATGCTCACATGGGTGTGATGTGAGGAGTCCGGATCCTCTGCCATGTTTGTCTATAGTGGCTCCTGCGGTGCCCTCAAAACGACGTCATTTTGGAGAAAATTTCTTCAAATTTTTTTTGAAAAAAAAACAAAAAAACAAAGCAGAGGCAGGAGGAGTGTAGCAAGAAGAATTAAGGATGAGGCATCACCAAAAGATTATTAGAAGGAAAAGGCAACCAAATTGATACTTGTGCAACTCAATTGCACTCATAAACAACTAGATTTGACAGAAAATTATTTCATTTGGTTTGAGATTTTATGAGATAGTTAGGTCTTTATGTGATTTGAGATTTGTTTCTTTGAGATTGCAGATTTGTAGATTTGAGATTGCATCATCTATATTGAATCTATATTTGAGATGATTGCAGGTTTGCAATCTTGTCTTAATTTGATGATTTATATCTTGACCTAGTTTATCAGTTTCCTTTTTGGGTTTGAATATGGGTTTATTTTGTAGTGAGTGGGATTTAGTAGTTTTTAAAGAGAGAAAGAAGGAAGAAGAAGAGGTGGTGGGTTTGGCGATTTTTATAGATATAAAGGAAGAAGAAGGAGAATGAGAGATGGTAGTTTTTATAGAAAGGAAGAAGAGAAATGATGGTCTCACAATACCAATCTGAACCTTCTCTCGAAGGAAATGTATATCAACCTCTATATGCTTAGTATGCTCATGTAGGACAGAATCAGAAGACAACATAATAGTAGACTTGTTGTCACAAAATAAAGAAGCAGGAGCAGTCTCCTCAAATCCTAACTCTGCCAAAATAGAACACAGCCATAGAATCTCACAAGTGCCTTGTGCCATAGCCCTATACTCAGCTTCTGCAAAAGATCGAGAAACAACTGCTTACTTCTTACTTTTCCATGATATAAGATGATCACCATAGAAAGTACAGAAACCAGAAGTAGAATGCATATCCGTTTTAGATCCTGCATAGTCAGCATCAGTAAAACAGAAGAGTCCAGATTGAGGATCAAATGTGAAGAATAATCTCAAGCCAGAAGAGGTCTTCAAATATCTCAAAATGTGATGAACCGCATCAAGATGTTCTGTACTGTGACAACCCTCACTACTGATTAGTGCTAATCTATGAATAAGCATGCTAACTGACAGATTGACTGAAATTCTGAACTGATTGATTGAGTGTATTAGTTTAAATGCATGTCTATCTGTTTGACTGCTAAATTATCTGTTCATGTTTTATGTTTTAAATTGCAAATTGAAGGCCTTATCGGCGGTCGAATCTGACATTGATTAGTGTTTTATGCTAATTAGAATTTATGTGATTTTATGGCATGTTTAATTGAAATTTGATTTGGAATGATTAATTTGGATTAAATAGTGTTGAATTACAATAGTTGGACTTATTTACCTTAGTGCCATTGAGTGGACTTTGCTAGACCAAATGTTTAGTCTTGCTTTACATGTGTTGGCCTCACTTTTCATCATCCTTCTTGAGAGAAAAAACGTGAGAGAGAGCTAGAGAGTTGGAGAAGAGCTTGAGTTCTTTATATTTTCTTGGAGTCTTGAAGATTTTGAAGTGAGATTGCATATTTGAGCTTCTACATTTGAAATTGGAGACCTAAGGTAAGACATTTACCTTCTTGTTTGTGAATTCAAGTTAGCTCTTGCATGGTTCATGGTAGATAGGAGCCTAAGGTCATAAATTGGTCTTAAAATTGTTGAATTGAAACTTGAATCATGCATGCATGTGCATATCTTGAAGTTTAGAGTTGTTTTCATGGAAATTATTGCATGCATGTTCATATTTTTGGTCTTGATCCATGAACTCACCATGTTTTGAAGTTAAACATTGCATTTGATCTTGTTTTGTAGCATTGGTGTTCCTAGGAACCCATGCATGTGTTGAATTTGCATTGTTCTTCATGTTCATGAAAACTTCTTTGAATTTGTGTTCAATTGAACTACCTTTAGGTTTTGATTTCTCAAATTGATCTTTGAAACATGTTATACTATGAGCTTACAAGTGTTTTCTAGAAAATTAGCCCAAAAGGATCAAATTTGATGCTTTAAAGTTGAGTTTTGAGCTTGAGGTTCAAATCTGGAAATTCTAGATTTTGGACTCACGCTCGAGCAGGGAACTCCACGCTCGAGTGTGCACACTGAGTTCATGCAGTCCGCTCGAGCAGGAAAAGTGACGCTCGAGCGGGAAATGCGTGTATCCAGTACTTTGCCCATGTTTACAATCCGCTCGAGCGAGGACTTGTGTCTCACGCTCGAGCGGCGATCGAGCGTCCGTCGAGCGTGAATTGTATGCATCCAGTACTTTTGCACGATTATACAATCCGCTCGAGCGGGGAAAACCACGCTCAAGCGGAGCTCCTTTGTTCTGCATGTCCGCTCGAGCGTAGAAAGCCACGCTCGAGTGTGGACCCCTGTTTCAAAATTTTTGAAAAGTGTTTAAAAGTGCATCTTTGCATCCTCATTTCATCCTAGGCATTCTTAGACCTAGTTTAAGGCATCTTAATGAGGAGATTGATGTAGAACCACGCCAAGCTAAATTAGGGATTAAGTTATTATTTCCTAACTGTGTAGCTTAGTGTGTGTTCATTCTTTAACTATAGGGTTGGCATCCGAGGAGGCTCTAGCTACTTATAGCCTAGTACTCTGTGAGTAACAATGTTGTAAAGATATGTTCAACCATGAATATTTTCTGAATGGACAACTGTACTGCTTTCTAAAATGATATTTCTTACTGAATGAATGTTTGTCCTATTTGTGAACTGTATTCGTGGCATCCATGGCAATTTACTGTTACTGTACTGTACTGCTACGGTCACAGAGATCTCTGTCGGTTCCCATGTTTGGAACCACTACTGTTTACTGATATGATGGCCATCAACTGACTGTTCGATCTATTAAGACCTACTGTACTGTTTTGCTATTGAATATACCACATATGACTATTATAGTTTCTGAATGACTGTTATAGCATCAAATATGAGCCACAAACTGAATGACTGATATACTGATAAATGACTATTCATTTTTAACCTCTTTACGCATATGTTATTTACTGGGCTTTAGCTCACTATATATATATATATATGTAGGTGTTCAGACACCGGACCGGAGTTAGGAGCGTCGAATTAGCTCTTGTTTTGTTAAGCCAACCATCGCGCCTCACCTCAAGGTTCCAAGTGCTGCCAAGCTAAGGCTGCTTTGGGGTGTCTTAGATTCACCCTATCTGCCTCTGTTATGTATAGACTGAATGATATTTGTACTGTACTATTATGGTTGGGATTTGGTCCCTAACCTGAATGCCTGTAAATAATGTATGTATATATTGTTTTTGTTCTGAATGTGAATATAATATGAAATTTTTTTTTTTTTTCAGACTGTCACAGCTCATTGGACATCTTTTAATTACTGTTTTGGCTTCCGCCAGCCCCTGTACTCTGTATTACTGTTTTACTGTTAAGCAGGCCTTCGGTAATCTCGGATTACTGGGCGGTTACGGTGCTAAACCCACAGGGGCGGGTTTGGGTCGTGACATGTACGAGGTGCATGCATGAATTGGCTAACCACACTAACCGCAAATGTCAAGTCAGGTCTAGTATTGGTCATATAGATGAGATGCCTAACAAAATGCTGATACATACCTGGATCCTCTAGTAATTCGTCAGACTCTGATGTGAGCTTGACATTGGGATCTATAGGAGTAGAAGCAGGTTTACACCCCAACATACCAGTATCCTCAAGTAGGTCAAAAGTGTACTTCCTTTGAGATAAGGAAATCCCCTGCTGTGAGCGAGCAACCTCAATCCCTAGAAAATACCTGAGATTCCCCAAATTCTTAATATCAAATGTGTGTCCCAAATCCTGTTTTACTTGATCAATGCCTATAGAGTCATCACCAGTGAGAATGATATCATCTATATACACCAACAAGACTATATACTGACCTACAGAATTATGACG